GATGGGAGCTGGGTCCTGGTGAACAGTGATAAGGTAGCTGGTGAGATTGGAGCTGGATCCTGGTGAATAGCGGTAAGGTAGCTGGTGAGATCGGAGCTGGGTCCTGGTGAACAGCGGTAAGGTAGCTGGTGAGATTGGTGCTCTGTCCTGGTGAACAGCGGTAAGGTAGCTGGTGAGATCGGAGCTGGGTCCTGGTGAACAGCGATAAGGTAGCTGGTGAGATCAGAGCTGGTTCCTGGTGAACAGCGGTAAGGTAGCTGGTGAGATTAGAGGTCGATCCTGGTGAACAGTGGTAAGGTAGCTGGTGAGATCGGAGCAGGATTCTGATGAACAGCGGTAAGGTAGCTGATGAGATCGGAGCTGGATCCTGGTGAACAGCGGTAAGGTAGCTGGTGAGATCGGCGCTCTGTCCTGGTGAACAGCGGTAAGGTAGCTGGTGAGATCGGAGCTGGCCCTGGACGGATGGCGGTGAATTATCTGGTGTATGAAATATCAGGTCTTTGGCAGCAACATCCAGACATGAATGTATGTGTATGGAGGTGACATCGTCTTGAACGACTTGATATGGACCAGACCAAACTCCCTCTAAGCATATCAAGGAGACAGTCTGGACCCTAATTTTTATCTTATTTAAAGGGAAGTGTAAGGCGCTCTGCTCCAGATGTGATTTGATTTGATTCAATTAAGCTTTAAGTAAAACAGATTTTATTCTTACATCACAATTAAAATACAAACAAAAATAGAATTGCCATAACTTTAACTCTATTGAAATACTTAACAAAATAATATTTATTTTAATTACTTCACATCAACTGTTCCAATGTATCAGCATCCCATAAACGCACCCTTGGCAAAGGCAAATCTAGCAATTCATCAGATTTCCCTTACTTGCTGTCTCCTCCAGCCCAGTAGAAGGGACATCGACAGAATGAAACCAGCAGCAGAGAGAGAGAGCTGTATATAGCAGCTTCAATCCCAACTTCAGCAACTGAAAGCAAAACTAAAACCTGGATCTGTGTGAGCCTGACTCCACCTACTCATGCTTCTTTTCTCTACTTTTTGAAAAACCCAAAGCTATTTACTTTGCTTTCTGTGGAGCAGACATCTCAACACCAGGTTCATAATACACCTTTTCAAGAGAAACAGGCCAGATCCCTCTTAAAGACATATATAATCGCATGTTGCAGTCTGTGGAGTGTACTGTTATGTTAAGGAGAGCGTTCCAGGATTTTGACCCATGTGTTCCCATGTATCTGCTGCCCTAGGTGGTGAAGGTCATGGATTTGGAAGGTGCTGTCCAAGGAGCTTTGGAGCCTTCCAGCCAAAGAGTGTGATATCTCCCTACGTACTTTCTCCAGACCCCTCATTATTTTGGAAGGCACGGTCAAAATTCCGGAACATTCTCTGAAGAGACTAAGACATTGGAGATGGGGGGAGGGGGTCATCTGTTATGAAGAAAGATTGGATAAGGCTGGCCATGTATAGAATTAGAGTTTAGTAGAATGCCAGGTGTTCTTACTGAAACATGAAGGTGAGATATGGATGGAAATTGGAAGCAGAACTGAGGAAGTTTTCCAATTTCAGACAGGATGAGGAAGCAGCACCGATGACATCGTCGATGTATTGGAGAAAGTTTTGGGTGGGGATCCAAGGCGGACTGGAACAAGGATTGTTCCACATGCCCTGCACAAAGGGGCAGGCATAACCAAGACCCACCTTAGACCTGAAGGAAGTGGGAGGAGTTAAAGGAGAAGTTGTTCAACATGAGGCCAAGCTCGGTCAGGTGCAGGAGAGTGGCAGCAGACAGGGATGGTTCATGCGCCATTTCAAGGAAGAGGCAGAGAGTCTTCAGACTGTCCTGGCAGGGAACGCGGCCTGAAAACTGGAAACTGTGGAATCAACATTAATCAACGTAAATCACAAATATAAGTGGGAAGAGACTGAATAAGGTGCTAGAGTCAAGATAGAATGAAATAAGTTCCGTGGTGCGGTCACAAGCTGGGACGCTGAGTCTGCCACTGAATGTCTGTGGATTTTGGGAAGCAGGCTGCGTGGAGATAGGATCCAGTACATATTTCCAGCGTCTGTAGTATGTTGTTTGTGACTTTCAAAACTGAAGCAGACGAGAAACAGAGACAATGAGTAAAAACAAGAGACAACAAGGTGCAGGGCTGGATGAACACAGCAGGCCAAGCAGCATCATAGGAGCAGAGAGGCTGACGTTTTGGGCCTAGACCCTTCATCGTAAAAGGGGGAAGGGAAGGGGGTTCTGAAATAAATAGGGAGAGAGTGGGAGGCCGATAGAAGAGGGATAGAGGAGAGGATAGGTGGAGAGGAAACAAACAGGTCGAAGAGGCGGGGATGGAGCCAGTAAAGGTGAGTGTAGGTGGGGGGTTAGGGAGGGGATAGGTCAGTCCAGGGAGGACGGACAGGTCAAGGGGGCGGGATGAGGTTGGTCGGTAGGAGATGGAGGTGCGGCTTGGGGTGGGGGGAGGGGAGATTTTGAAACTTGTGAAATCCACATTGATACCATTGGGCTGCAGGGTTCCCAAGCGGAATATGAGTTGCTGTTCCTGCAATCTTCGGGTGGCATCGTTGTGGCACTGTGTTCATCCAGCCCTGCACCTTGTTGTCTCGGATTCTCCAGCATCTGCGGTTCCTACTACCTCTGAGTAAAAACAAGAGTTGTCACTTAAGTCTCTGTGTGTTTTGGCGAAGGCGGGGTTGGGGGTGGTTGCGTGTGTTTTTAAAGAGCTGGGAGGAGCTAGGATGATTATTTTTCTGAAACATGAGTCTAACAGAGTTGGCGGGGGGCGGATGCGGTATGAGAGAATTTGGAAATCTGAGCAGTTGATAGTTGAGTTGAATGTGCAAGTCTGTTTCCAATCTCTGAGTGAGTGAGAGCAGGGCTGGTGGAGTGATATAGAGAGGGTCCACACACACACACATAAGTACAAGGGGGAGATGTCTCACTTCGGTGTTTGGCTGAGTTTAAGCAGAGGGAAGGCAAGTCTCCCTGCTGTTCTCCAGGCTTTCACATTCTCCCAGGCGGCAAAGCACACTGTAGGCAAACTCCAGGAGACAAAAGACGCCGGAGATGTTGGGATCCGCTTGAACAAGTCCTCGCCGTCCGGGGCTAAAGCCCAAGGAGTGAAAAGCTTGTCCGAAATGCCCGGACCCAGCACTTGGAGCAACTTGGTGCAGTTTTTCTTGCGAGACGGATTCAGCAGAATACATGATATACAAGTAAGAACGGAGCAAAGTGCAAATGTGATTCAGAATTTTATTTTTAAAAAATGCATTATAAATTAAAGCAATTTAGCGAGTAAGGCTAATAAAGGGAAATGCATTTACATTAGTAGGTTGGATTGCATGTATTTCTATAAATTCTCCATTTAATTCGGTTTTGTTTGTTAATGAAAGATTCAACCCGTAGGGATTTCGTTGTAAAGTTTCTTTAGGATGGAGAGTGTAACAAAGAAATGGTTGCAGAGGCGCCAATTCAACTGCTTCGAGTACTGCCTGGGTGCATTTTCTGGTGAATTTTGTTGGGATTTCTCATCAGAGAAGTTTTCCTGACCGGGGGAGGAGGAGGGGGAAGTTTAAAAAGTTTTGTCTTTGAAAGCAGCGCCCTGTGAGATTAGCTGTACTTTGTTTCCGCAGCTTGTTAGGCAACATCCCACAGATGGTTGCCATTCGGCCTTCGACATTGGCTACTAGCATTCAGTCTCAGAGTAGCTCAGTCAGAAGGGCCGGAGGATCCTTGTGTCCCAGGGCCCACTGCCAGGCTGTTCTGGTTTGTTAGACAGACCTGTCACTTATCCTGGGAAATCAAATCAAGATATTAAACTAAGGTTTTTATTATTCCTAAAACAAATTTTATTCAAAACATTTGTAAAATTATTTTCCTGCGTTGGTGGTTGTGAAAGATTCTGAGGAAGGATGTCCTGGCTATGGAGGGAGTGTGATGAAGGTTTACCAGACCAATACCTGGGATAAAACAAAAACAGAAAATGCTGAAGAAATTCCACAGGTCTTGCAGTCTCCCCAGTGGGAGTAACAGAGTTAGTGTTTCAAGTCCACTGACCCTTATTCAGAACATTCCTGGGATAATATGACTGATGTATGAAGAGAGACTGGATTGGTTAGGGCGATATTCACTGGAGTTCAGAAAAATGAGTGGGGAATGAGGGTACGTGCAGGAAGGATCTTCCTAATGACCAGGGAGTCCAGAATGGGAGGAAGGGGGAGTGTTGGAGGCAGGGTAGGAGGTCATAGACTAAGAGTATTTGGTAGACCATTTAAGACTGAGACGAGGAGAGATTTCTTCACCCAGAGAGAGGTGAGTCTGTGGAATTCTTTACCACAGAAAGTGGTTGAGGCCAAAACATTGAATGTTTTCAAGAGGGAGTTAGATGTAGTTCTTAGGGTGAAAGAGATCAAAGGGCATGGGGAGAAAGCAGGAACAGGCTGTTGAGTTGGATGATCAGCCATGATCGTTTGAAAGGTGGAGCAGACCCGAAGGGCCGAATGGCCTACTCCTGTTCCTGTATTCTATATTTCTGCCCTGTGGCACAGTGTTGAAGAAGGGTAGGAAATTTAGCCCCAGTGACCTTCTATGATCCCTCAATTAACATCGCAGCAGTAGATGGTCTGCTCACTATCACATAGCTGGTTCTGGGAGCTTGCAATGCCTTCTACATTACCAGAATGACCGTGCTTGAAAAATGCAAGATTGGCTGTAAGATGTCCAATGGCGACGAGAATTTGCAATTCTCTATTTTTGTAATTGGCATTGCAAGCTATTAAATTTCCCTTCCGCCTCTTTGAAATTTTGTCTCACCTTATGTAGACAGAGAGAGGTCATTTGCCTTGCCAATAATTCCCTCTGCTTTATTTTAAAAGGTATTGCCGAGGCTCAGAGCTCTGGAGTTCCCTCCTGAAACCTCTCCTATTTGTTTTGAGATACTCTTTAAAACCTCACCCACTTTGAACCAGCTTTGATCATGCCTGGAAACCTCGCTGTTGGATTGATGTTAATTTTTATTTGGGTAGAGGTATTAGAGTTGATCGGAATGTTCAAAATCAGGGGTTTGGACAGAGTAGATAGGGAGAAGGTGTTCCCATTCGTGACAAGATCAAGAATACAAGGGCATGCATGGATTTAAGGTGATTGGCAAATGAGGCAATGGAGAGATAAGGAGAAACGTTTTCACGTGAGTGGTTAGAATCTGGAATGTGCTGCCTTACAGCGTCTTGGAAGTGGTTCATTTGAAGCATTCAAAAGGGATCCAATGACCATTATTTGGAAAGGAGGAATGGGCAGGACATTGGAGGGAAGGTGAGAGAATGGCACTAACCATGTGGCTCATTCAGAGAGCACTGATATGATGGGCTGAATGGACTCCATGTGCACTGTAACAATCCTGTGATTCCTTGATGACACTACTATGAAATGCCTTGAAATGTATTGGGCTGTAATGGGGAGGTAATGGCCTACTGATATTATCACGAGACTTATTAACCAAGAAGCTCAGCTAATGTTCTGGGAATGTGGGTTGGAATCCCACGCCAGATGGTGGAAATTGAATTTCATAAAGAAACGGGAATGAAGGGTCTAGTGATGAACATGAATGTCAATTGTTGAGGGGAAAACCCGTCTCAATTCAGTAATTCCCTTTCAGGGAATGAAACCTTCTGTACTTACCTGGTCTGGCCTGTGTGTGACTCCAGACTCTTAACTGCCCTTTTGGCAATTATGGATGGGGCAATAAATGTTGGCCTAGCCAGAAATGTCTACGTCCTGTAAGTAAATGAAAAAAATTTAACATCAATCCAAACAGCGAGGTTTCCAGGCATGATCAAAGCTGGGTCAAAGTGGGTGAGGTTTTAAAGAGTATCTCAAAACAAGTAGGAGAGGTTTCAGGAGGGAACTCCAGAGCTCTGAGTCAGCGCAAGTTATTGTTTGTTTCTGGACAAAGTCGGAATCACATCAGA